GTAAGAAGGGCACGCAGTTAAAAGGGCTCCCCTCTCAATACGCACTGATGTATCTCTTTCACACACTAGAGATTGATTCAAACTAACAGATCTTTAAGACAACCGCATCGTGACACAGAGGACACTGCACTGCTACTAAGGCTGCATAGCCCAAAGCTGGACAGGGGCCCTGCAACACACACTCAGCTACTCGACATAGTAAACGTGCAGCTGGAAGATGAATTGCAATCTGCAGCTTTAATGGCAGAGCAGCAGCTTCCAAATATCTTCAACAACAAAATAAGTCTAAATATTTATCAGGGGCCAAACAATACTGAAATATCTCCGATGACGACTGTAGGGAGTTTACAAATGAGTCAAAAGTTTTAATTTTTATGGTTGCAGCTGGAAAACATCTCAAGAGCGCAACTGCAGTGGAGAAAACCAGCAGTCAAGCTTTCTGCTGCAGAGGCCGACGCAAGATTCAGGCTGAAATTGGTGAGGAAGAAGGTTAATTTCCCAGCAGGACAGTGACCCTTATCAGAGAAGAGTTAATCGTTTTCCAGCTAACAGACATTTAGTAACTATTGGTCCACAGGAAACACAAATGTGTCATAAAATCTTGCTCTGATACATAGCAGGTAAAACAGTGAAGCTCTTGTCCCTGAACTGAAAAGGAGGTATTATGCCTTCAAGGGCATTCAGAGCTGTGTTTTCTCCTTTCTCCAATTCCTGGTACCTGTCGGTACACTGTTAACAAATGTAATCTTTTAATGTGTTTGGTGGATCTGCCAAGTCTAACATATCTGCAACCGCATGCTGCAGAAAGAGAGAGAGAGAGAGAGAGTGTGGCATAAATCACAGATAAGCCTGCAGGGATCTCACAGCAGCAGTATTTCTCAACACATCTCCTGGTCCTGCTGCAGGGTTTCTCCTCCACGCTGTCAAAATGCTCCATTTTAAAGTTGTACTTCATCACATCTGTTTATTTTCTGCAATGCTGATAAGGTTGCTATGGATGTGTCTTTAACAGAAGCATTGTTCATTAAAAGGTTAGAGTTTTCTGAATAAAGTGAATATTAATGTTTAAATATACATATTTACCTCCAGTTCTTAAAGCTAAAGGGAAGATAAAAAGAATATGTATGTATTATTTTTCTGTTTTAAGTATAAAAGTGCTCCCAGTTTTGTATGTAATATAACTTAATGAAGAAAAAGCATTTTATCGCAATTAAAACTGTAAAATAAAATATAAAATGCACAAATACCTTAATAATGCAGAATTAGACTACCTTTATTTCCAAAGCACAAAAAAAGGCAATTTCAGTATCATAACTGATTTGGTTTACAGTGAACTATACAGTACAAAGTGTATTTTGGTAATCTAATTTGATTCAGCATACCAAAAAGACATCAAACCTCAGGACACAAGAGTCTTGTAGAGTGCAACTCAGTCAGGTCAGGTTCAGATCAGAGGTTAATATCATCCATTACATCCACACAGTCCTGACACACCTTCTCTACTTTGGCCTTGTGACCTGTGCTGGTGCTGTGCTCCAACTCTGTACATTCAGTGTGAAGTGATAAAGTAAACATTAGAGCCAGGATGTGCAACTCAGAGACTGTATGAGGAACCAGTGAACCAGTAACGTGTATTGCGGTTCTCTATTCTTTTTGAATGTTCTAATTTCTTTTTTATGAGTATTTTTCATGCATCAAAGCCTTGTTGCATCTTTTTAGCCATGCTAATGACACTATTGGACTATTTGTGGTGCCCAGAGAATGACTCCTAATGATTTTGGTGATCCTCTGACTTCTCATCTAGTGAGACTCCTTTAGGCCAACATTTATATTTATTATGAACAAATATTTGCCAAAATAATGACATTTCCACCAGCCTTTGCTGTTGTTTAGTGTCCATATAGCTAATTGATCACACAGATTCTACCCTGATAAAGCTAATATCTGTCTAAGAGTACTTATTTTGGGTTTAATTTACAGAAGACCCTTTCAAAATAAAATGTTAAAAGATATTATACTAACAAAGACTGCTCTATTATTATTATTTGCTCTAACAGGTTTTCCTTTCCTTTTTTTCTTTTCATATATTTTATTTGTTGTACAATTTGATTTATTAATATATTCTACACATATTATTACTAATTCATACATCCCATTTCTCAGCATTATTTATTTATTGAATGTATATTTATTACTTTGTTATATTGTAGTATACATATTCTTACCTGTCTTATTTTCTATTTTTCTATATATATATTGCTGTTGCATATACATTGTAGTATATTGCATGCAATGTTTACATACTTCTTATTTCTTATAATGTTTCTTTTTTCTAGAATGGGAGCATTTGTGACACAATTTCTCGCCAATAAAATTAAATAAATACCAATAAAATATTTCTGATTCTTATAGTTCATGTACTGAATGAAATGAATTCACTTTTTCTAAATAAAACAGAGCCACAGGCATGACTGTAATTTAAATTTTTTGCACTTGAAGGCATTGTGAAGCCCAATGAATTGCAATCGTGACAATCCACCAACAGGGGGCGATAGAAAAGGGGCAAACACGCACTTGGCTGAAGTCTACGTCCCACTTTCTCCTTTCCGTGTAACGGCAGGTAAAGGCGCACTGCGACGGGGCTGCAGCACTCAGAGACAAACCTGTTGGACTGCTCGTCCTCCTGCTCTGTTACTCTCCCTTTCTGTCTGTCTGCAGCTGGATCCTCCTCCCCACAACTCTCTGAACCAGCCCCGAAGTCTGGACCTTGTCACTTTTCTTACAGTTTTATTTTTGTTGGAATGAGATTTTCCTGAACCGAGGCTGCTGTAATGAGATGTAAGTATGTGTGATTTGTTGCTTGTGTGTTTGCTGTGTGTTTTTACCTTTCTGTACTTAAACACTCATTGATTTCTACACAGCTGTTAAAGCCTCTGTCCTAGGATCAGTTTTGGCTCTTCTCTTGCTGTTGAGGGAGCCTGCCTGCCGGGGTGATGAGGTTGCCTCAAACACAGGTAGGTCAGTGGGTTTGGACATGGTGTTATGCCTTGCATTGTTAGTCATTGTTAGTATTTGATGTTTTAACTGCTGGCATAGGTCGGGGCAGGAAACAGATGTTCACTGGAGTATGAATCAGTGTTTTCAGAGAAATGCTAGTGGTCTTATCCAGCCTTCCTCGGTACCTGGTGGATTATAGATTCTAGACATTCCGGTAACCCTTATAATAATAACAGGTCCTGGCAAGCCTGCTCCGGGCATGATTTCATTTAGCACTGCCACAAATAGGAAACTGAGCATTGGGAGGGGGGAAATTAGGGACAATGCATATCAACTTGTTTCAGAATCAGCTTGAGCTCTTCTCACTTGATTTAAAGTGAAACAGTCATTATTTATATTGAGAATTTGGCCTTTTAGTCCCCTAAAAGATACAATTTCAAGACTCTCGGCACTGAAAGATTCATGAAACTGGATAGGCCTACATATACATATATATTTGTAGCAGTGCAAGCCCCAAACAGACTTTTCCTGCCTGACCTGTGGCCAGACATGTCGCCCGACCTGTACTGCATCCACACAGCAGCCCCCTCATGTACACAGTGTACCATCAGGCCCTCAGGAACCACAACATCCCTCACACACGTGAACAAAGACTTTCACATGCTTCTCATCTGATTTCTGCTTTTATGTGCTGCCAAAATTGTCTCTGAATCAGACATCATGTCATTGTTGCAGTTAAGGCCCACACAGACTCCTGGATCTTAAGACAAATTGAGTCATGGGATAAAAAATGTTTCAACATAAACTGCTGATTCAGTGCGGTGAATCATTCTCAAATGTAATTATATAGTTTTAGGTCGCGTGCAATGTGAATTTCCATGTTATCTGTGGGATTTGAACTCATTCTGACCTGTTAAATCAGATAGTGCCCATGCAGATAACACAGTGATGAGGTTACTGCTCTGTTGAGTGTGCTGCTGGGAGACAGAAAAGGATGGGGGGTCTACGAGGGCAAGGAGGAGCATGTTTTTGCATGTTCAGGGAAGTTTATACAACTTCTCTCAAGTAATGCTTTCTGTCAGAGTTTACATGGATGAGTAGTTTATCGCACGGTTCTCATAACATGCATATCTGTAATGCTACACCCTGAACTATTCTATGACGTAAGGAACTTGTAGTTATTTGTGCATAAATCTTGGGATGGTCTAATACAAACAGTCTTATCTGTCATCATGTTGTAATTTAAGACGATTTAATTTCTCACCGTGAAACCTGCATGTATGAACTTTGCTTGTTGTAACTTGTCAATGCATTTGACCCCCCCAGGCCTCCCTCTGCTTCTGGGAAATAAGAACTAAAGCTTTTTCATGTCACTGACTTCAGCCAAGAAGATTTTTTCCCCCACACTTTAGATTATAGATATACAGACATATTATTACATCTGTGTGGTTGTAAATTTCGGATTTAGATACAGAATCCATCTTAAAGACTGGATTCTTAAAGGGAAACATAAGTATTTTCAACCAATATTTTCCCATGTTTTTGTATCTTAGGAACTAACATTTTTTTAAAATTGGTCCAGTATCGAGTGAGAGTGCTGCAGCTGTGAAACAAGCTGTAATGTAATCCCTTCAGACAAGGGACCGTCAATGTACTGTGCTAAAAGTGGTTATTTTTTCCACTGACAGGTTCAGTTTGTTAGTTTGTGTCTGACAACATTATTGAAAGGAGCCTACAGAGATAGAACTTTTTGTTAAAGAGTAAGATCCCTTTTGTTTAACCAGAAACAGCCGTTATATCGCTCTGCCACCAGACTCCACTGACCTTTTAAAACACTGAACAACAACAATAACACAAATTTTATTACAACTTGTTTTGTGCCTGACGGCTGCAGAGCTCTCGCTCTGTACAATCTCTATAAGCAAGCACTTGTAATGGAGTAATAAGGTTATCCTTAAAGGTAAAGCCAGCAGCTGGTTAACTTAGGCTAGCTTAGCATAGACATTGGAATCGGAATAAGAGCCAGGCTCTGTCCAAAGGTAACACAATCCACCTACCAGCATCTCTCAGTCTCTCTAAATAACATGTTATATTTCATGTTTAAAGTGCAAAAGCAATAATTTGCTCCTTTATTAGAGTTATTTGGTGGACTCAGGCATAGTACTTCCAGGAACTAGTCGGTCGAATTCTTGTTTTTTACACTTTAGATGTTATTTTGAGTCAGTCCTTAAAGGCTCAATCTGAGATCTGATGTCTGGTTAAAAGTATTAGTAGTAGTAGTAAAAGTGTTGATCCTATCTTGTGCTAAGCCAAATGATTGTTTTTGTTGGGAACTCAATCACTGTGCAAGAAGCAAGTGTCAAGTCAATATTTGATCTTGATCTCTTTTTCAATTTCTTACAATGTCACAGCTTCATATATATATGAGTTTATGTAAGTATTTCTCACAGTCTTTGATGCAAGCTCTTCTTGTTTTCCACAGTGAACCCATGCTGCTATTTACCCTGTCAGCACTCGGGTGTGTGTGTGAGGTATAGTGAAGACAAGTATGAGTGCGACTGCACTCGCACCGGCTACTACGGAGAAAACTGCACTGTCCGTGAGTCCAGTTATCCTCATAAGACAAGCTCTCATATCCTCCTCTTATTATTGCACTTTTCAGGAATTTTAAATATTCTGGTTTTATTTTGTACATGAGACGGAAAGGGCTCGATGGCTGATGAAAAAGGGTTTTGTTTTGTTGTTGTTAAATCAGGAAATAGAGCTCCTGGCTCACAGGGTTAGCACTCCATGTCTAGACCCAAATATTTGGAAGAATTGGAGGAACTGCCAGAAAGAGACCAGCTGGATCCGAGCTGCTTTTCCTGATCTCTTTACTGAACCACCTACTAACTCTGCTGGTCTGCTTCTCATTAACAGGGAACCCTCACACACTGTAGTGCTTAATCAGATGTGATGTGTTTGGCAGACAGTTATGCAGTTACATCATGCTCATCAGGCATAAGAGCAATTAACCTTTGTGCAGAGAAAAATAGGAAAAAAGAGTGGGAGGAGAAGGATGGAACAGACAAGCAATGGCAAACAGGGGAAATGGGATTGAGTGATAACATTTACTTTAAATTATATTTTTTACTTCTTACACCAGGTAGAATAGCCACGCATGTAGCTCATTTTACACAAACAGGATCAACGTTGAAACATCTTAATGGAGCTTCAGGATTTTAGAAATAGGTCCACAAACACATATCCCTACCTTTGGTACAGTATTTGGGCTTTTCATGTTATATTTATTCTGTTAAAGCAGTTATAGTCAATATTGTTATACTAACAATGTATCAAATGACAATGTGAAAGGGATGTGATGAACCAATTTATCACCCGAACCTGATGCTTCAGCTGGGTGTTTAGCTGTCCAGCAACTGTTTTGGTTCATTCTCATAGTAATTTTCCCAGACACATCACTTTATTCAGTGAATGGCTGAGCTATTCAGTGAATGCTTAGTGTCCTGTGAGATGATTTTGTCATCTGTTCATTTCCACTCTAAATTCCCAGCAGCCCTGACTTCCAGTAACAACATTGTTTTTTTGTCCTCCCACCACAGCGGAGTTTTGGACCAGGGTGCGTCAGTTCTTGAAGCCCAGCCCAGATGTGGTGCATTACATTCTCACTCATTTTCACTGGCTCTGGGAAATTATCAACCATACCTTCCTACGGGACGTTCTCATGCGGCTGGTTTTAACAGGTCCAGAGTCAGCAGTTTATTCAAAGAAATTCACTCAGGACTGTCAAATATTCAATGTGTCTGATACCCTTTTATATTTTTAATGAACAGTTAGATCCAACTTAATACCCAGTCCTCCAACCTACAACTCAAAATATGACTACCTCAGCTGGGAATCCTACTGTAATCTGAGCTACTACACTCGGATTCTGCCCCCCGTGCCAGAGGACTGCCCTACACCTCTGGGGGTTAAAGGTGAGCCACTCATTTATATTAAGTTTAAAGCTGCATTAATTAATATTTTTACGTTACCGACGGATCAGATTAGTCAATGCAATGTGAAAGGTATGACCCATAGGGACGAACCCACAGAGATTAGGCCCCAGACCTATCTTCACGCTTCGTATTAGCGATGTGCCAGCACTGGAGAAAGGTCTAAACCCATTATGATTGACTTTGGCGATGCAAAGCCCAGGATTCAGTAATGTAGTGTTTGGGGGGTGGAGTCATTTTGGTGGAACATTTCGACATGGGGAGGCGAGCCCTGCCATTAAGATGGCGAAATCCTTTTAAAAGAAAAGGTAACAACTGCTAGCTTGTTTACATTTTTACTCTTAACGACCTGGGTAGGGTTAGGGTAACTTGGCATTTTCAGCGCGTAGGTTGCTAGCTCAGAGGCTGTTGAAATGAAATAGTGTCCTGCCACTGGAAATAGACATTTAACATGTAATCATTTTGGCTCCCTTTGTCTTGAGCAGAATGTGTTGATATTTAACAAAGTAAGATATCGATAAAAGTATTGTGTCAATACCGAAACTGTACTTGTGTTGGCACTAGTACCATGAATTCTTAAATATTGCCCAACCTATTTATATTAATACAATTGTACTATGTTGTGTATTATTACAGTAGTAATAGTTCAGTCTTTATTTACCAGCTGGTGGAGATAGTGAAGACAGTTAGTGGGGAGTAAAAAACAGCTATTTCCCTTTTAAGATGTAAGTGGAGTCAAACACTCAAATCGTCCTATACAATTTGCCTTAATTATAGTAAGTATTTCCACTTACTGCATAATTTTGATATAATTCATTACGAGGTACAAATGTGTGACTGCATCACTAATATGTAATGAAGAACATGTCTATTGCTCAGTTGAAGCTAAACTTTCCACCACAGCGACATGCATGAAGATTGGATGACCTTGGGCGATTCAGAAGCGCAGTGTGATGTGTTAACTGTATCAGTACTGTTTACACAGACGTACTGTTTCAGTATTATGACTAAAGGTGTGGTGTATCTGTGTGGTGCCCTGTGCTGTGTTTGACGTGTTTTTTTTCCCCTATTCAGGCGAGGCTGGGCTGCCTGACCCTGAGCTGCTGGTTGAAAGGCTGCTGAAGAGAAGGACGTTTAGACCTGACCCCCAGGGCTCCAATCTTATGTTCGCCTTCTTTGCGCAACACTTCACCCACCAGTTCTTTAAGACCTACAATCGCATGGGTGTGGGCTTCACTAAGGCTATAGCACATGGGGTTAGTCCATTTAAAACTTTTGTCCATTTAATAACAATAATCTTTATTTCAATAGCACAATTCTTAATGGTGCTCTAGGCATTTAAAATAAAGTGTTCTACAGTCTGACTCACAGTCCCTCCTTTCAGTAGTACTTTATTAAATGAGGAGAGGGAACTCCACCAAGAAGCGGCCCTTAAGGGCAGGCAGCAGAATTTCAGTGTGGTGACGTGGGGCGGGGGGAGGGGACTGCTAACTGCAGGAATGGACGGACTGCAGGTTTCACTTACCACACCTTCAAGTGCTTTCCCAGGGGAAAAAACAAAAAAAGGGAGTATAAAAATGATTAACATTAAAACAAGCAATGAATCATGAAGATATGGAAACAGTGAAATACAGTTAGAAAGCAGATTAAAACATAAAATGGCAAACTTATCATAATAAGTAGACCAGGAGTGAAAAAGTAAAAGCCTGAAGAGCTTTTATGTAAATCAGCAAGAGATGAGATTAAACAAATGAGATACAGTGATTTTGTTACCTTGAACAGAGCCAGACCCTCTCTTTTCCAGTCTTTGTGCTAAACTCTAAAAACCTGATTGAACACCATTAAAAATCAAATAACCACTAAAA